TCATAATTTGTATTTATTCAATCTTAGAATGGGAGCAAGGCTGAATCACAATTATCTTTTGGGAAATGCTCTACAAAACTGCATTGCTTTTATTTCTGTGGCATAATTTTGTACCTAATTCAAAGACTTTCTCTGGTGTAGTTTGTAAGATTGTTTGAACTTCTACTTTCTGACCTGTTTGGTACCAATAAATCCTGCAACCTTTTTGGCTTATTTACCCATCTCTCTTGCCATTTCTACATATTTCATGTTAGTCTATTGCATAAATATTGTGTAGTTAACATACTTCATGATATACAAATGAATGGTACCTATAGAGGCTCGATGTGGGTAAATGAGAACCAATGAACCTATATTTTTTACAATGGCATCAAGTCCTCTTGTCACTGCCATGGATATCACAGTAGATTTTGCTGAACTGCGCAAGAGAATCCTGTGCAAGGAAATATTTTGCATGATTTAGCTTAACAGCATAATTTTTATGTTCCCAGTTGCATTGGAGCTCTGCTGGAGTTTGCCGATGACATGATGCTGAAGGGCTGAAGCTGGTAGCTCTGGCAGGAGTCCAGTGTCCACCAGCTCAAGATCCGACGCCGCCGCGTCGCCGCCGTGCGGCACTCCGCGGAGACGGGGACGGCGGTCATGATTGAAGACACCGCATTTCCCGCCTGGACTGTCCGGTCGGAGACTAGTAATCCCTCCGGTGAGCCGCACACCGTGGAGCTACTGCACCGCGCGTGTCCACCCGCAACGCAGTGTCAGCAACGGTGCCGTGAGTGCGACATCTGCGTGCATATGACGCAGTGCGACTGTCACGACTCGCGGCTCAGTGTTAACTGTCAGTGTGACAGTGCGGCTCGCGCTCGTTTTAGCGAGGTGCTCTGTTGTATATAACCACCTTGATGGAGACCTATGTGCTGCCGCTTGAGTTTCAATGTACAGTTTTATGCATCAAACTAGCGTAAGTAAATGGCTGCCAGAGGTCAATTTGAAGCGCAATTAGTACGCATAACCCAGCTGGGTTGAGCGAGTCATGTGACTAGTCCCGATGAACGTACTGTTTCGATGTCGTCAGTCGTAGACTTTTGTAAACCTTCGTTTCGGAGCTCTTTGTTGTGTTGTTCGGGATCACAGTTCTTTGAGCAGTTTGCTTTATGCGTCGTACGCTGACAGAACGCTGGTCGTACACAAGTCATGTGTTTCCTTTCGCCCCTAATGGGTTACTGCGGTACCTATGCAGTTGGAATGTGTCTCGAGACACTAACTGGTCGCACTTGGTTGTGAAAATGACACTAGCTGCCAGCTGGTCGCACTTGGTTTCAAGCTGCGCTTGGAAATCGTGCAATTTTATTTGCATTTTGCAATGCAATTTTATTGCTGTTACCGTATTGGTAGCTAGTGTCAGAAGTTGGCCATTTGATGCGTTGTCACTTGTCAGACGCTGTTGCCTTAGTACTGACAAATTGATGGGCCGCGTTTGTGTTCCTTAAGAAACGGATCTCAATATAAGGTGATTCAGAGGTAGGAACCTGAATGCATTCGTTCAGACTTTTCATTTTATGGGGATGCACTGTTTCATGAGAAAGAACGAGCATGGCTCTGGTTGAGAGAAGCGCAATCGATATTTGTTATCGTGTTTGTAGACTGTGGCCACATTTACATCACTATTCAACTCCACGCACCAGCATTATTTAAACTGCTTGAACCTATACTTCATTTCGCTAAATTTCGGGGTCGTCAACCTACGGTCCGTGGCCGTTACGTTTGGCCAATAACTAGATTTTATACATATTAACTGGTTCATATAATCACAGCGTGATGCCCCGGACAATTTTTATTTGATTCACTGATAATGAATGTATCCCAGTACCGCACAAACTGAGACTAAAACTGGACAACTCGCTTTTCGAGGTTCAAGTTCATTATCTTCAGATGTTATGGCATGGTAAGCTAAGCATTTAATGTTCGAAGAAAATGGCCAAGCAGTGCTAAGCGGGTATTATGAGCTTTCAATTATTTCAATATTTGTTTAGGCTATTATTGTTGTGGTATCTCCAGTCAATTTCACGCGGAATATATAGTATTATCATACAATCGCGGTAACTACATATTTTCTGCCGGTTACTGTTATTATCATTGATTCGTAATATTTCGCTACGAGCGTGGCTCGATTAACATTGTTATTATATTGGCATTCCATATTTAAGAATAAAAATCTTTCAATGCATTCCAATTCCATCAAAATGTCAATATGCAAAAAAGCTCTAAAATTGCAGCAGTTTTGTGAATCAAAAATAGCTGTAAAATAGGCCTGTATAACTTCAACAACAGTGCGCCGAAAAACGTCTAAAAACGCGTAAACAAAAACTAAGATGTAAAAAAATAACTGCACCCCTGTGCGTGCGGCCCGGGTGTTCCGTTATTACGGAAGGCGCCCAGCCGGTGGCCGCGCTGACAACGCTACGTCGCGACGAAACTTGCAGTACCCTCGCATCGATCAGTTTTACACCTACCCTGAAACTTTTATGACCCTGACCCAAATGACCTTTGACCTGTGACCTCTTTTCCGGGACCAAATCGCGATTCGGCGTACGTCGGCACGAGCGTGTCGGCTCGCATTAGCCGCACGTTTGCAAGCTTTTCGTGGTTTCAAACGTTCAAACATGTGATTTGATGTTGCTCCCATGCATTAGGGTGGGTGTCAAGGTCACCTGAAGGCCAGGTCAGGTCACTGATCTGGTGATATCGGTTCACTTTTTCGAGTTTTACATGTTTCTAGTCTAGTTTTTGGAGCTGAATTCGAATTTAGCAATCATTTGAATATTTACGAAGTAGTTTTGGTGCCTTCGTAACATGTTCCGAAGCTCTCAGAGGCGGATGACAGGTAGGTAGGTATTACGAATGCCCGTCACGACCCCTACTGGTTGACCTGACCTGACCTGACCTGACCCGACCTGGTCTAAATGCTTAAAGACATCATCTCTGATCAAAACTAACACGATAATCGTGATAAGCACCCCGGAAAACCCCATAGCAGCCACACTTTACGACTTTCTAACAGGTCCCGATTTTCCTGATTTTTGGGTCATTGAACTGACCTGGAAGGTCACCCGATGACCTTGGACCTTAAAATTGGGTATCATCGGCTTTCTCTCGTGACGGGCAACACGCTCGTTTTTTCCGCGAAGCTCTAGCTCCATCAAGGGCCAAACGCGGGGGGGGTCGTACCACCCCCCCCCCTTGTGCCGTCGAAGGACTCAAAATGGCCTGTGCCGGCGAGTTTTAAAAGCATCCGTCAGTATCGTGTTAGGAAGTACGGTCCGTACTTCCTAACACGATACTGACTCATTTAAAATTTCACTTTTTCCCCATTGCGATAAGTGATTAACCTTCCAGGCGGTGGGGGGCATTTTTTGCCCCCCTTTAGTTTTTTCGATATATCTCGAGAATCGCTGCGCCGATCGTCACCAAACTTTCAGTACCCTTCCGGGAGTAGCTAGCGCACATGGTGACCAAAAATGTTTCCAAAGGCTATGATAGGTTGGCCGCTAATGACGTCAGAGTGACGTCATTTTTGCCATTTTCAACCCAAAAAAAGGTTTCGCGGGAAGAGCTGTCAGGCCTACAGCTTTAGAGATACAGAAAAATGTTCCGACATAAAAGGTGTGGAATCAAGAGGGCTACAAAACTGCTATTTCGGTTTTTCGAATTTTTTTGATTTTGACCCCCAAAAATAAAAAATAGATTTTTTGAAAATAATAGCCGAAAAATCCAAAAAGTTTTTTGAATTTCGAAAAAAACGGAATATATGTGATAGTCCCTACCGCCTTCTATCTACATACCAAATTTGAGATCAATATCTCTTTTTTTGGCCAAGTTATAGCGAAAAAACTGTTCAAAATTGATGACGTCAAATTTTCAAACTCAATTTTTAGCAATTCTAGACCTCGTAGCGCAAAACAAAGGCCACCATTAGACTCCCCGTGACGAGCTGCATCGAATCGATACCCATTTTATGCAAAAATATCAATTTTGAAATTTGACCTTTTTTGACCTGACCTTGACCTGACCTCCACCAGAAAGTGACCTAAACCGCACCTGATGGTCTTATAACCAATACCATTGAGCTGGAAATGAAAAACTGGCCATAAAACATGCATCGCACAACCTTAGAAAAGTTGGGTTCATGTGGTGACCCTTGGTGACCTTTGGTGACCTGACCTGTGACCTGACCTGGTATGACCAGTGACCTCTAATAGCAACATATGTACTAGACAACTGACGCCTTATCGCTGATTTTCGACAAAATGCGTTTTACTCGGTGTTATGGCGCTTTCCCTAGAAGCCCCGTGAACGATGGAACATTTTATCTTTGACCTGACCTGTGACGTCATCGGTGACCCCGAGGTCAATGAAATTTGGTTTCCCTCGACGAATTTGACAGTGCTATCGAACGCCGTTTGAATTTTCCGGATCCGTCCAGTAGTTTCGGAGATACGAGGGGGGGGGGGGGGCAAAAAATGCCCCCCCCCCACCGCGCTGAAGGTGGCTGGGAGGCCCACCGCCTGCCCAAAAGAAACCGAGGCTGCGGTGTCCCCATACGCAGGATTCTGGACTCTGGAGGCTATCGGGCGGATGTCGGGCTAAAAGCTTTAGTTCTCAATTAAATAGAGTACAATAATTTCTTTTAATACTTTGTTACACCAAAGATTCTCACAGATATAGGAACAATTTGTACGGGATTCCAAAAAACATAGATATACAAAAAAATGTTATATTTTATATGTTAGATCCGTTACAATATTTTAGCTGCCCTAACTTGTAAATGTAACGTATGCGTCGTTATTGAAAAAGTGCTTTACCATAGTATTCTATGGCTGACAAATATTCTGCTTCTGTCAGCCAAAACAAGCAAATCAGAGGCTTCGCCATTTCTTGGTGTAGTGAAATCGTTGAAATCGAAAACATGCTGGCTGTTGCTGCTGATCATCTGCTGGTCATAAAAAGACGGGGACAGAACACGACAGCGTAAAGAGGCGGTAAATTCAATTTTTCATTTGTGAGAAAAGCGGTCTCAGTCTAGGATTTTCAGGGTATATGAGGTGTTAGATTTTCGGAGTTGTGGGATTTTCCAAAACATTTTCTTGTCACCGAGCGATCAAAACAAGAGGCCGTGTTTGATTAATGTATTACTAATTTACTTACCTTACTTAGGTAGGTAGGTACCTACTTACTTATGATGCATCATGCATGATAATTTTGAAGGTCCTTAGGCTATGAAAAAATAATATGTTAAGTTGAGGGAGGAGGTCTTTTTATCCAGATCAAGATGCAGTGGTTTACTTCTTGAAATTATTTTTGCTAATTGACAGCAGTGCATCATCCGTCATTGCATGGTGGTCGTCATAAACAAAAATTTCAAGTAAACCACAGCATCTGGATGAAATTGCCTCCTCTTTCAACGAAACATATTCTTTTTTCATCAAAATTGTGTTTTCAATCAATATTGATCATTTTCGGATGCTGCGAATTGAAGTTCCAACTTCAGTCCACAAAAAGGGTAGGTATATGTCAACGTTGGACTACCTACCATACAAACAATATTCTTCTTGCACCAGGTGGCAGCACTTCTTTTCCAAAATCAGTGCTCGTATTTCCAAAATTGTGATTTCCTCGCTGAGGAGTGAGATCGGCTTTGTCGTTGCCAAAAATAGCTGATAGCGTTGTCATTTTTTTTGCACATGGTTGCTAAAAATGGCATGTACTTAAAATGACAACGATTTACCAAACCTCCCCCCCCCGTCTGTGCTGTTACTCTTATCAATCGCTGAAAGTTTCAAGGCGATCATTCAGTAATCAGTCAGTGTAGCTATGACGAGGATTGAAACTTTTTCTGAGGTGAGGTCACGTCTTGATGTGACCTGGGCCCTGTTTCACCGGTGATAGCAGCACGCTGCTATTACATGTGTCAAATTGGGTTTCCATGGAAACTCTGAGGTTTGTTGAAAAATCAGTAAACATTTATACTAAATGTTGAAACTTGCTTTATAAAATCATCAATCACTGCAGAAGAGGCCTCATGAATAGATGTATTGTTATTGTTTTAATAGAAATGATTCCTTAATTTAGTTTTTTATGTACTTGGCCTAGATTTACATATCAGTTAATTCAATTCAATTCAATTCATGTATTCACGTTAAATCCGCGCACGCGGCTTTTCACTAACGCATGTCAACAGATAAAAAGATGGACGGATGAAGTAAACACACACTCATACATGCATAAAACAGTCCAGTCTATCGCTGATCATGCAGTAAATAACGAGTCACTGCCGTCTTTAAACGAGTCCGCCCGTCATACGTTGCGATAGAATCGTTGTACGAGTTGACACCGCTGTGCACCAGCTGTCTGCGGCCTGCCTCTGTTCGAATGCGTGGTAGTCGCAAACGACCAGAATGACGAGTGCCGTGACCATGGTCGAGGGTCTCGAGCGTACAATCGACACTGGTTGGCTGACCAGACACTATCACTCTATGCACGCTACATATCCGATGGTACAGGGCCAGATTTGCTGCGCTTAGCCAGTTCAGATCGCGAAGTATGTCGGTCACATGGCTGTACTTTCGGCGACCACTAATAACGCGCGCACAAAAATTGAGTACTTTCTGTATACGGCTGAGCTCAGTGGTGCCGCATGTCCCGTAGATGGCTATGCAATAGCGCACCACGGACATGACAAGTGAGATGACAATCGGTTTGAGCGAGTTGGGCGGCAGCACATGTCTGGCGTGACTGAGTGCGGGTAGTGATCCTGTGCACTTGGACACTACGTGTGTGACATGTTCATGGTATGACAGGTGTTTGTCCATCACAAGTCCCAGGTTTCTGACGGTCGCCGACTCACAAACAGTAGCACCGGCAAACCTAATGCTGATGGGCTGCAGGCCTCTCAGCATCTGGCGCGTACCGAGTACAATCATCTGCGATTTGGATGCATTCACTTTCATGTCATTCGTGCAAAACCACGTAAACAGGTCAGACAGTGCCTCCTCCATTCTCGAGATCAGAGAAGTCAGATCGTCCTTCCTTCCAGATATCAGCAGCTGAGTGTCGTCAGCGTATTGTACTATAGTAACGTCACTAACTATAGTAACGTTAGGTAACCAGGCACTAGTTTGGGTCACTCCTTAGATAATCCAGGGCTGCTGACTGACCTCAGGGTAATCATGAGATCATCAGTCGGTCGACAGAAAGTCATAACGGCACTTCAGTTATTGGGGACCACTAATCATCCCCTGACTTTTTTTGGCAATATTTCATTTATGCTCTATCTGGCAAATCAGATATGAGACCCCTACCTAGATGGTGTCATGCCTCATGCCTCTGCGACATGCTATCAGTCTATGTATCAATCAGTCCATCATTTTTTGCTCACCTGAGAATCGATCTGTGCGGTCGGCAGGGCAGCGGCCATGCCGGCGGCGGCGGCGGCGGCGGCGGCGCGCACCACGTCGCACGACCTGCACGTGTGGCTGATGAACGAGATGGAGTACGACGCCAGCGGCGCAGACGGCGGCTACCGGACCATCCCCTCGCCCGAGAACCTCGCCGAGTGAGTCTGCCGGCCGGCCCTCTGCCAACGCCGGCGGCGCCACATGCGCAGCTCCCGGGCTGAGCCTAGCGGTGCCTTCTCCCAGCGTCCCTCCCGGGCTGAGCCTAGCGGTGCCTTCAGCCCAGCGTAGTGCGAGCGTATATTCCAATGCAGGCTAATTGTCGGTGCCCATAGAGTTTGTTTGTCCTGATGTGTATTTGATGTGACATGTTTCCAATAATCCCAGCGTGTCAAACTGTCATCTTCAGAACACGGCAACGGCGCCAGTGTGACACTTGTACTGAGCCTCCCAGCCTTTCCGTTAGAACACTTCACGGATAGGTTGGCTTTTCAGGATCCAGCCCGGCCCATATCCAGCAAGTCATATCCAATATTACTTTACCAATATATCCAGGCCATGGATGAAGGAGTTTTTCATCATAGACCATCATAGACCATCATTGACCATCATAGACCATCATAAGTTAATCTTAAACGTGAATATTGAATGAAGAAATAGTATGCAGTGCTCTAGCGAGGAACATCTTGATATATGTAGTTAGGATTTTAAATGACCTTTTCCTCGATAATTAATTGGAAATTCAATAAAAAGTAAATATTATATTGTTTGGCAAATTTTCGAACAACAGTTCATTCTCAAGCCACATGAAACAATTGTTTCATGTTTCATGTTTTCATGTTTCATGTTTCATGTTTCATGTTTCATGAAACAATTGTTTCATGTGGCTTGAGAATGAACTGTTGTTCGAAAATTTGCCAAACAATATAATATTTACTTTTTATTGAATTTCCAATTAATTATCGAGGAAAAGGTCATTTAAAATCCTAACTACATATGAATATTGAATGCTATAATTTTATCCGCTCTGATTCGTGTTCAACCTTCAATTCCGAAATCCGGTAATTCCGAAACACGTAAGCGGATACGGTAAAGCCCTATCCGCTTACGTGCCCATTGCGTTAACCCGCGAGTTGCTGGGGGGGGGGGGCGCTAAACGCCCCCACTTTGTTTGCCGGGCCATAGCATAAAAACGGCGCGCCGCAGGCGCGCCAAAATTTGGGTTCCTGTAGGGAATTGATTGAAGTTTATTGTGACAAAGTTTCAAAAAAATCGGTCGGAAATTTTTTGAGATATCGAGGTTTTAGTGACGTCATGATTTCTGAGTTTTCGACCAAAAACGGCATATGTTCAAAAAATCATATAAAATCACAGAATAGACATACAGACATACCGTAAACGCCATTAGACTGCCAATACCATGGACAATCAAATGGCTATCTTCGATTATTGATTATCGTTCTGCATTTTCCAAAATCTTGAACTGAATCTTGGCAATTTCTCGCGACTACTTCACGACCATGATACATACATTTCTTAAATTGAACTTTTTGAGCCAAACACGTACACATACGTGTTGTATTGACGCTCAATGCACTCAGATCAACCAGCAGCACAGAGCAACCAGCAGCACACCCGCGCACAACGCTCTCGCCGAGCCCACTGACCCAAGCTGACCGCCCCTCCCGAGCCGCCAATCGCCCCGGGCCGCAGTCACCGCACCAGCGCACGATCCTGACACGGGCGCGCCCAGGCCCGGCTGTTTTGGGGTGCATCGCCAACTATTTCACACCCCTCCCTGACCATCAGGGTCACAACACCACCGCTTGGGCGGGCGGCGGACACGCTGACTCCGCCTTAAAACAGGGACTGCCAATTCAGTCAGCCCAACTGATGACTGCGGTACTGACACACCCGAAGTTTCCGCCCGCGACACCGGCGGCTCCAACTGACCCACACCCACCGGCGTCATGGGCGCGGGTACATCAACATACAGTGGCAAGTCGGCGTCCTCGTCATGGCTCTCACTGCACCGTAGCGCCTGATCCACACAACGTCGCAGATCTTTTACATGTCGCGGAATACCATCTACCGTCACTACCTGTTGGGATACAATACCAGTGATAGTCCCCCGCCTCGACGGCTCTGTGCACCGCATGCCGCCCCGTCTCACCCATACAATGTCCCCCACATTCAGCCCGACAGCCCCTCCAGGTGGGGGAGCTTCCGCTGCATTCGGCTCGGAATCGCATTCCGGCGCAGCTAACTCGCCACTCCCCGGCTGCACACAGTCTCGCACCACATAACGATACACACGGCCAGCGGGGCTATCGTCAGCATCTCCACCGTCACGCGGAGCCACATTATACAAATGTACTGCTTCGGCGACTGAGCACTGCTTTCTCGCGGCAATGACTTTAATTGTGCGGTGGTTGCGCTCAACGACACCGTTGCCGCTCGGTACATGGGCAGCTCTGAACCGCAGCGTCACATTCCACCGTGCAGCGAAAGACGCGAAATGACGGGCGCGGAACGCAGTATCATTATCGCACAAAATCTCCACAGGTGCACCCCGCTCATAAAACACCTCTTCCAGCTTCTGCACAACACTAGCTGAGTCCTCACGGCGGAGCAGTCGCCACAAACAGTACCGCGAAGGTCCACAGTCCACAATGGTCAGATAAGACTGACCACTAAAATGAGTCACATCAATGGCTAGTCGTCGCCAGGTTTCCGGCACCTCCAGCGTCCCATGTCGCCACTTCACTGGCGCCGGGTCGATTGCACGGCACACGTCACAGTTCTCCACAGCAGCCCGCGCCCGAGCTCGTGTGACCGCCGGCCCGATACACCGCCGCGCGAAATATAACGTTCGACGGACGCCGGGGTGACCGGCGCTGACGTGCACCTCGTCAACAGTGACAGCGCGCTCACCATGCTCTGCCACCATCCCCTCACCGACATTCACCGCCGCCGCAGCACCGGCAGCCGGCACAGCCGCGGCCGCTGCACCCACACAGTCCGCTGTCTCAGCACCGGCAGCCGGCCCAGCCGCGGCCGCTGCACCCACACAGTCCGCTGTCTCAGCACCGGCAGCCGGCCCAGCCGCGGCCGCCGCCGCGGCACCGGCAGCCGGCACAGCCACGGCCGCCGCACCCACACAGTCCGCTGTCTCAGCACCGGCAGCCGGCCCAGCCGCGGCCGCCGCCCTCACACAGTCCGCCGCGACAGCCGGCCCAGCCACGGCCGCTGCACCCACACAGTCCGCCGGCCAGCCGGCCGCCGCCGGGCCGCCGTATATGCCGGAGTCCGCGTCCCCGGCCGACTCAGCCCCGCCGCTCAGCCACACCCTGGGCACACGCGTCAGAGCGTCCGCGTGATTTTCCGCTGAACGGACCAGCACCACGGACAGATTGAGGCCGAACTCGGCAGCCAACTGGCAGATTGTGTCCACACGGCGTCTGATAAGCATTTCACTGTGCGCCCTCGTACGGAGGCGAGCACGGCCAGTCAGTGCATTGCTCACCCATCTGTGCACAGAGGTCGAGTCCGTTCGCAGCTCGATCACGCGCATGTTCCATGCCACAGCCAGGTTCACACCTCGGATTGCAGCATCCAGTTCTGCCATGTTGATATGTGCGGACTCGTTTTTGCGCAGCCAGCATGCATCTTCGATGACGCTGCCGTCCGGCAGCTCCACGACGACGCCCGCGGCCAGCGAACTAGCGTCAGTCCACACCACGACCCGCTCACCCTCCACACACCACACTCCACGAGCAGGATCATCAGTGGCCAGCCGGGTCGAGATAGCGTCCATCAGCTCAGAGATAGTCGAGTCTTCGATGACGTCATCCCAGCCGATTGTCGCCTCGTTCACCCGGCGCTTCAACCACGCCACCGCGGGACGCAGTGGCGTCCCGCGGTGCCGCAGACCGGCAGATGGGCGACGAGACGCCCGCACCACGAGAACACAGCCCGCCGCGTCACACGGGCCGGCGGGTCACCAACCGCGTTATCCCGCGACCAGCGGAGCGTGTCACCACCGTCACCCCCCGGTCGCACCCGCAAACCCAGTAGACGGGCCCCGTCAGCTGCCCGCTCTGGCGGCTTACATTCTAGCCCGTACTCAGCAAAGTGCTCAATTACCCTGTCCGCACTAGCGACATCCTCATCAACAAGCAAATCATCAACGTAGGGAAGCACCGCTCGCTGAACACTCGGGTCCTGCTCTAACACAGTGCGAACCACAGCCTTCATCACTTCGGGACTGACGTTAAGTCCGAAACCTAAGCGCGTCAAGCAGTACCGCCGCCCCTTCACAACCACAGTTTGAAAGGGCCACAGCTACTGATGGACATGGAGCTGTAGATACGCCTTCCGCAGATCGACCACCGCCACTTTCGTGCCATGACGCCGCCACTTTCGCAACACGTCCGCACACACATCACTGTCTGCGGTATGGGCGGTTACAAAGTCATTAAGTTCTCGAAAGTCCATGACAGGACGCACTTTTGATTTGTTTTTCTGCTGGACGGCTAAGAGCGGTACCAGCCCTCTCGGGGGTCCATGCTGCTGCTCGTCATGAGGCACCAGCCAGCCCCTCTCGATCCAATCGTCCAGCTCCGCGTCGTACTCGTCTCTCGCCGCCGGCGGCACCGCGTACTCAGCAACCGAATTACTGAGACAATCAGGAATCCGTCCACCGTCCCACTTCCACGCCACTGTCCAGCGCCGCGACTCCGAGTCAAACTGCACACTAAAGTCCGGTGCATCCACCACCAATGGTGCCCGAGCGCCAGCAGCACAAAACCGGGCCTCGCTCGGCGACAGCACGGTCACCCCTCCCAGCGCACCAATCCCAGACATGCCGAGCACCATGTCAGCACCGAGCGGCCGCTGGTCCACCACCAACGCCTCCAGCACGGCGCGCCGGCCAGTCGGCGTCTCAACCTCCACACTGCCGACCCCGCGGCAGAGAAGGGATCCACCGCTGATAGTAGTGACATCGACCCGCCGCGGACGCCACCGAGCACAAAACGGCGCACAGATGATGGTGTCCGTGCTGCCCGTGTCGATCAGTGCCCGGCAGATCCTGCCGTCCACCCTCAGCTGCATGACTGGTAGAGCGCCGCTCAGGGCTGCCTCGGAGAGGACACCGGCGCTGGCGCGTCCTCCCCTGCTTCGTTTCCCCTCAGACGGCGAGGACAGGTGGCAGCGAGGTGTCCCGGCTGCCCACAGGTCCAGCAGCACCGCGGCCCGATCAGTCTCCGATCCCGCGGCGGCTGCCGCCCTGGTGTTGGCTGATTTCGCTGCGCCGCGGCAGCGGATGCAGAGGCACGCTCGTCACTGAGAAGCGCTCGAGCCCTCGTTAGCACGCTGGCCAAATCCAGTCCTTCAGCCCGAGACCCTGCTCGGAGCGCCTGGCGCACGGCTTCCGGCAGGCCGGCCACGAAGGCGCAGCACAGTCCACGCTCCGGCATGCCGCCGAATAGCGCCGCCAGACGTCTGAGGTCCGCTAAAAATACATCTGCGGCCTCGCCCGGTCGCAGACGACGCACAGAGAATGCTTCATAGGCTGCGTGCTCGTCCATTGCGAATGCGGTGAACAAGGCGTCACGCACTGCGTCCAGGGAGCCGCGACTAGCATCCGGAAGCTGTGACCAGACAGCGAATGCGCCACCAGTGAGCCGAAGCGGCAAAACGGACATCACAGGCACACCGCGCAGCTGGCACAGAAGCTCAGTCCGCTGAAGCCACTCCACAACGTCCGGCGTCCCGCTGAACTCGGGAATTAGGCGTGCATCGAATGGTGGTCCTGCGGTAACGGCTGATGCCACAGACGGCGGCGTCGGGGCCCCGGGCGACATCACAGGGGTCGCCCCCAAAGCAGGAACGCACGCCGTCCCACCAGAAGTCGCGATGGCAGCGACGGTGCTTCTCGAAGATGACATAGCTGTAGATGTCGCACCGCAGCTCATGTTGCCGAAATAGCTTGTTGTATTGACGCTCAATGCACTCAGATCAACCAGCAGCACAGAGCAACCAGCAGCACACCCGCGCACAACGCTCTCGCCGAGCCCACTGACCCAAGCTGACCGCCCTTCCCGAGCCGCCAATCGCCCCGGGCCGCAGTCACCGCACCAGCGCACGATCCTGACACGGGCGCGCCCAGGCCCGGCTGTTTTGGGGTGCATCGCCAACTATTTCACAATACGATAAAATGAATGTCACCATCGGGTTCTACGCCCCAAATTACCCACAAAACATGTGTCGCAGGCTGCGAATATCAGTTTTGATTTTCGGGGATATGTGCCTACCCGGTTGACCTGACCTTGACCCTGACCTATGCTTGACTGACCCCTACATGGAGCTGACACTCTTGTAGGCCTTATATGATGGATTGTGCACCGTTTTGGCAACGTTTATGACGAGAGGCGCCCATTGCGAAGCCCTGAAGTTCATGCTACTGAAAGCCCGATTTCAGGTGTTTGACCTGACCTTGACCCGACCTGTGACCTCAAAATTCAACTTTAGAGTACTCATCTGAAGCGTCTCGTCGCGCTCTTTCGTTTGCCGCCTCGTGCGTTTCGCTGCGCCTATTGGTTCTCGAGTTATCGGCTGGGGGCGTTTAACGCCCCCCCCCCCCCAGCAAACGGAGGGTGGCGAAATACCCCAGCAACTGCCGGGTTAACCCTCGCCGGCCGAGGGGGGGGGGGGCGGGTGCCGCCCCCCCATAGGGTTTTTTTCGCGATAGCTCCGAACACGCTGGCGATAGAGAGCTAAAACTTGGCATACCTGACCTTTGATCCAAGCCGCATCTTTTGACACCAACCGCATTTTTGGGTCAGGTCAGGTCACTGACCTATGACGTCATAAGTGAACCTCTGCACGGTCTTCAGATGTCGCAACTTCGCAACGCCCTCACTCCCAGAGGAGATGTCACAGGGAAATGAAACTTGCAGGATCTAGTATCCATTATGAGTCCCACAACTTTTATATCTCGGATTTTTCCTTAAGGTCATATGAGGTCAGGTCATTTTCGTGACCTCACCATTATAAGTCAATGGGGAAAAATGAAAACTGCTATTCTGGCGCCGGGAACGATCTCCAACTATCTCAAGCACACAGAATCGTGATTTTATGCACTCCTTGCAAGGTTAGATGCGTCACTTTTGCAATGTTGACCTTGCGTGACGTCATTTATGACGTCATCAAGGTCATATTAGTTTTTCGTCAATAACTCTTGATCAAATTGAGCTAGCGAGTCGGGAAAGCCACCAATGGACTCAGGAAGACCTGCCGAATCGAATGATATGCGACATGACCCCTTTCGACCAACTTCGTGACCTGGGGGTGCTGACCTGACCTTGACCTGAGGTCAACACCCCAAGTTGACCTGACCCGGACAAAAAGTATATCATTCGACGCGCCTGAGCGAGACGAACACGATGCTGCCAAAATCGGCGCTCTGCGACCGTTTTTTGCGAAGTTATTCACCAAAAACTGAACCGTACCTTGGGGCACTTGACCTGACCTCAGAGGTCACCGGTTGACCTAGGACCTTAAAATCGGGTACCAATCTCTGCGTCTCGTAACGGCGCACACGCTCGTTTTTTCCGCGACGCGCTAGCTCCACCAGGGGCGAAACGGCGAGGGGGGGGGTCGTACCCGCCCCCCCCCCCCTCGGCCGGCGCGTATGTAGAAAACCAATAGGTCCGGCGAGGGTTAATGCTCCGTATGTGAAGCGGTCTTTAGGCAAAACATTCCGGCAGGCGGCTATTTTTCTGTTGGTAAAACTGGCCTCTGTTCTATTTTTTCCAAATTTGAGATCCAATCCTGTCCGGTCCATGGATCAATGGATAACGGAAATCGGCCCATGAAGCGCTCTCCTTTCCGTGCCGGCCGAACCCCCGCCGCCCTACCCTCCCCGAACCCCCGCCGCCCTACCCTCCCCGAACCCCTGCCGCCCTACCCTCCCCGAACGTCGGCCGTCCTGCTGTCCCGTCTGTCCCGGGACCTGTGCCGTGCTGCCGTCCCGCCGTCCGGTGACCTCTGACGCCCCGCGGCCGCCCGGTGACCTCTGACGCCCCGCGGCCGCCCGGTGACCTCTGACGCCCCGCGGCCGCCCGGTGACCTCTGACGCCCCGCGGCCGCCCGGTGACCTCTGACGCCCCGCGGCCGTCCGGTGACCTCTGACGCCCCGCGGTTGGTCCTTCAGGCTGTGCGTGGGCGAGCTGCCGGACGTGTGGAAGTACCTGATGGAGCACGTGTACGGACCGCACAGCATCCACGCCGTCAAGGGCAACCTGCAGCTGTGTCGCGGCCGGCACGGAAAACGGCTGGTCAGTGCCGCCCCGACGGCCGGGATCGGGGGGGGGGGGGGGGAGAGGAGGGCCGGACGGGAACACACGGGTGGGGCGACTGGGGGGGGGGGGGCATGACACAACTTTTCGACAAACTGGCGCATAACTCGTAATAGAGTACAGCACCGCAGAAAAGTGCATTGATCAATATTGATGATCAATGATCAATATTGATGATCAATGATCAATATTGATCGAAAACATAGTTTTGATGAAATAAGAAATTGTTAAAGGGACCCTCCCACCTTCAAAAAAGTTAATGAATTGGCATGAAAGTGATGTCGCTCGGTTCAGAAAGAGCAAAAACGAATATCTACCAAATTTCATCGAAAAATATTCACCGGTTTTCAAGATATTAGACTTTTACTTTTGTTTACTTTGTGGGATCTCCGCTGTACCTAGCGACTTTATTTGAAAGTGCGGCATTTGTTGCGCGCAAAGCAGCATATACCACCGCGTGCTACAAAACGTTTTAGTCAAACATTTAACGGACGTTCGAAAGCCTGATGACGTCATCAGATTCCCGTAATGGTTAAGAGATAGGGACCACGCTGGTCCCACCCTGCAAGTAAAGGGAAGACATTTCTTGAACACCATAAAGCTGCAGGGGTTGCGACCAGGATAAATAGTGGTTTCTGAGCCTGGCCGCAAACTTGGCTATCTCAACTCAAAACTAATGTTAAGGTGGGAGGGTCCCTTTAAGTTGAAAGAGGAGGCGATTTCATCCAGATGCATTGGTTTACTCGTACTTCTTGAAATTATTTTTGTTTATGACGACCGCCATGTAATGACGGATGATACGCGGCCGTCAATTAGCAAAAATAATTGTTAAACCACCGCATTTGGATAAAACGACCTCTCTCAACTGAACCCGCGCCCCACTGGGATCTGTGTGTTACGCGCCCTACTGGGGGGGGGGGCTATTCATAGCCCCCTCCTAACTCCGAAACTACTGGGCCGATCGTCAAAATTCAAACGGCATCTGATAGACCCGGAAAAACTGTTTAAAGAAACCAAATTTCATTGACCTCCAGGTCACCGATGACGTCACAGGTCAGGTCAAAGTAAAAATTATCGATGTTTGGCTTGTTCACATTTTGGGCTCTGGCTGCCGTCTTACAAGTCAGATCATGCTGATTTTTGGTTTACACACTCGTGAACAGATGCTTTAGATACCCTGAGGGTACAAAACTTGCACTTTGATTTTCAGGTCCGGTCAGGTCATCACAGGTCACGGAAATCTTATATCATAAGTCGGTCACGTGACACATGTTTTATGGTCCATTTAGGCCATAGATTTCGAATTCGGTGTCGCCTGCCTTTGTCATTTGAGGCCATTTCATCTGAATATAGCTGAGGTCAGGTCACTTTCAGGTCAAAAAAGATCAAATTTTAAAGGTGAATTTTTTCAACAAGAACATGCCTATCGGATGCAGTTTGAGCTCAGGAACACGATGGTGCTATTTATATTGGTGTAGGTACGTCAAATTCGTACTAAAAAATTGATTTGAAAATTTTCAAATTGTGATTTTTGCTATAATGCGTATAACATGGCCATTTTTGAAGATATTTGGCTAAAACTTGCTAGAGTAAGTAATAAGCATGTGTTCTATCATTTATATTTCTTTTTTTTTCGAAAAGTCAAAAGCTTTTGAAAAAAATACCTAAAAATACAAATTTTGAATTTTAATATGAATTATTTTCAAAAATTTCACAATTTTAAAAATCCGAGATAGCAGTTTGATAAAGCAGTCCATTTTGAGTCCTCTCATACAAAGAAATTAAATCTAGCTAAAAAACTGAGCTCTTGGGGGCGATTCCCGTGGTTCAAGGTTTTGCGTCGAAATCGGCCGAACATGACGTCACTCTGACGTCATTTCCGGCCGACCTATGATAGATACCAAGTTCAAATTTTGACACAAGGTGTCAAATTGATGCAGCCGAAGGTACTGAAAGTTAGACGGCGATACGTCAAGCCGTTTAAAAGTTATTGCAGAAAAATGGGAGGGGGGCTATGAATAGCCCCCCCCCCCCAGTGGGGCGCGGGTTAACATAGGTATTATTTTTTTCATCAACATCATATTTTCGATCAATATCGATCATTTTCGGATGCTTCAATTTTAAGTTCCAACTTCATGCCACAAAACAAACTACCATACAAACAACGGGCATACTAAAGCTGGCTTCTTCTTCTTGCACCAGTGTCCTTTTTCATAAAGATTCTACAATCCGATTGTAGTTTGTACATTGGTAGTTTTCAAAGTACTCTTTAGTTTATATATACTGTTATTCTTATCAATCGCTGAAAGTTTCAAAGTGATCGTTCAGTCGGTGTAGCTATAGCGAGTCTTTGAACTTTTTCTGAGGAAAGGTCACTTGACGGGATCTGGTGACCTGACCTTAAACGACCCGGGTCTGAACTTTTCACAACATCTGTGGAAAAAATGTATGTATAGGTGTGCGCCGCCGTTTTTGAGATATTCGCGAAAAACCTGGGGGTGGGGCGTAAAATCGCCCCCCCCCCCCACAGGACGGCGCGGGTTACGTAAGATAGATAAAACAAAATGTCAATTAGGTGGGAGGGATGGCAGGCAGGCAAACAATAATGTACACAGCATACAGACACACACACACGCACACACCACTCATATATGCACGACGTAAAACTACCGCATTACCAGCGACTTGGCAGCGCAGACGGGCCCAGCGTTTGGGTCTCGATTGAGGCGGTTGAGAAGCGTCACAGCTCGATAACTAAAAGACCGCTGTCCGGTCATGGTGCTGTCCGGTCATGGTTGGGAAAGCCGGCGGCCGAAGACGTTCGTCCTGTCTGGTGGGCCGGTCACAGCGCGCGCGTCAGAAAAGCACTGGAAGAGTGAGGCCAGTTCGGACGGTTCTCCACTCATAAGTACATAATGCGAGCAGCACTTGCTTCAAGGTATACAAATCACACATTTGCCGCAGCACCGTAAAACCCAACTGATTTCATGCTCGAGAGATGTGATCAAATTTTCTAAGACCGGTCACTACACGCGCTGCAAAATTGACAACCTTGAGCATCCGAGTATCGTTCGCAGATGATCCGTTCCCATAAACCGTGATACAGTAAGACACTCGGGAGATCACCAAACTATGAACTATTGAGAGCAGAGCCCTCTGCGGGAGGAAATGTTTTTTTTTTTTTGAAATGTCTCAGGTGACGGAAACCGATCAGGATGCCAGTGCAATTGTGAACGATATCGGTCACGTCAACGTGTGCTTCCCAAGTCAGATGTTTGTCAAAAATAACGCCGAGATGTTTTGCAGAGCGTCTCTCCTGAACGGTCTCCGCCGCTTTTGAGATATTCGCAAACCAAAAACTCAAGGGGTTGTTCAACCACAGAGCGCGGGTTAAAGCTGCCGAACAGCGGCCTTGCTTCTTTTGTTTGCTCTATTATCACACAAAGTACTAATTATGCCTTGTTTTCTTGCCCCCAGTCGTTTTATTCAATAATTACGCCATGTCTAATGCCATGATGTTATCGTTCCTGTGTACCAGCTGACACCGTTTCTTGCTTTTCAGGTGTCCTCTCCTGAGGAGAAATCTCTGCAGAAGAAAAAGGAACGGCTCACAAAGAGTCTTCGCCAGGTCAACTCCAGTGTTGAGTATCTAGAGAGCGAAATCATGAAGCTGGAGGAAGAAATCATCAGCAAAAGTAAGTGTAGTGACTTAAGCTGTTCGGTTTTTTGCTTTACCGTCTTAATGCCAGACGGAAAATCCTTTCTTAGCAAGACTGGAACGAAATTAGTAAGGTACGATTTTGCTACCGTTCTCTTACCCTCCAAATTTTGGTTTAACTTAACTTTGACTCGGCTCCTTGCGAACTGTCTAGCATATGCTATTTTTTGTTACACACAACTGTTGTAAGGCAATGTCAGGAGTGTCAGGCTGGAGTCGCTATTCGTTCTGCCGACGACCGGTGGCGGGGTACCACCAGTCCTTGCACCAGTCGTTTATATAGCCTTGCACCAGTCCAGATACCGCCCGAGTATCTGACCTGGGGGCGGGGCGGGGGTACCACCAGACCAGATACCGGCCGAGTATCTGACCCGGTGGCGGGGTACCACCAGACCAGATACCGCCCGAGTATCTGACCCGGGGGCGGGGTACCACCAGGCCAGATACCGCCCGAGTATCTGACCCGGGGGTGGGGTACCACCAGGCCAGATACCGCCGGAGTATCTGACCCGGGGGCGGGGTACCACCAGACCAGATACCGCCCGAGTATCTGACCCGGGGGTGGGGTACCACCAGGCCAGATACCGCCCGAGTATCTGACCCGGGGGGGGGGGGATCCGGTGGCCGTGACGGTGCGCGGTTGCTGAGAGTGTGCCGCCGCCGGCAGGCTCGGCGGTGCTGGAGCGGCGCGAGGCGTGCCGCCGCGAGCAGCGACTGGCCGCCGCGCACCGGCTGCACTCGGCGCGCTGTCAGCGCGAGCTCAGCGGAACGGCGGCGCTGACCGGCCGGCTGGCACAGCTGGCCGGCGAGCGCACGGACGGCGGCCGGCCGGCCGACACACACACCGTCTGTATGGTGAGACATACACACCGTCACCGACACACCGTCTGTATGGTGAGACATACACGCTGTCTGTATGGTGAGGCACACAGCCATACACACCGTCTGTATGGTGAGACACACACCGACACGCACACCGTCTGCACTGTGAGGCACACACACACCGCCTGTATGGTGAAACACACGGACGTACACATTGTATGGTGAGACACACACCGGCTTACACATTGTATGGTGAAACGCACACCGACTTACACATTGTATGGTGACACGCACATATCGACATACAAACTGTCTGTATGGTGAGACACACCTCCTGTATGGTAAACACACACCGACTTATACTATACACTGTTTGTACCTACTTTGTATGGTGAGAAACACATGCCGACGTACATATTGTCTTGTGTGTATGGTCACATGGTGAGACACACACCGGCGTACACATTGTATGGTGAGACACGCTGTCTGTAGGGTGAGACACACCATTTGTATGGTGAGACACACTGTATGGTGAGAATATATACTGTATGGCAAGGCACACCGTCTGTATGATGAGGCACACTGTATGGCGAGACACACAATCTATATGGCGTCCGTATGGTGGCATACACTGTATGATGATCAGACACATTGTTTGTATGGTGAGACACTGTGTATAGAAAGACACAGTGTATGGCGAGACATCTGGTGAGCACGGTCTGTGTTGTGAGACACACTGATGTGGTTTGTGGCTACTCACACGGATTGATCATCACTTGTCCCTCCCTCTCTCAGACCTGTCCTTCCTCTTTCATTAATTCTCCCTGTTTCTCTCCAGTCTCCTCGCTCTCCCCTCTTTCTGACCGCTCTCTCCCTCTCCCCACGCCGCGTATTTTCCGTTCTGACCGGCGGCGCTCTCTCTCCGTCGGCCGGCCGCGCTGCAGCGTCAGATCAGTGAGGCCACGGAGCTGCTGGCGGGCCACATCGACCGGTGTCTGGAGCGCGCGCCCACGGCCGACTCTCTGGCGCGCGCTGAGCGCTCCATCCAGGCCACGGTGGCGCGCCACGCGGCGGCCGACATCCTGCGCAGCCTGGCCGGCCTGCAGCAGCGCGCCGGACTCCAGCTGGCGCGCAAACTGCACGCGGACGCCGAGCCGCCGACCGCCGGCCAGACCAGGTGACCAGCCGGCGCAGGGGCGGGCTGAGGGCTCACAGAGACCAGGTGATCAGCCGGCGCAGGGGTGGGCTCAGAGATCTGCCGAGACAGGGCTCACAGAGACCAGGTGACCAGCCGGCGCAGGGGTGGGCTCACAGAGACCAGGTGACCAGCCGGCGCAGGGGCGGGCCGCTCACAGAGACCAGGTGACCAGCCGGTGCACAGCCAGCCGGCGCAGGGGCGGGCTCACAGAGACCAGGTGGCCAGCCGGCGCAGGGGTGGTCACAGAGACCAGGTGACCAGCCGGTGCACAGCCAGCCGGCGCAGGGGTGCGCTCACAGAGAACTGCCCAGACAGGGCTCACAGAGACCAGGTGACCAGCCGGCGCAGGGGTGGGCTCAGAGAACTGCCCAGACCAGGTGACCGCGGGCTCACAGAGAACTGCACAGACCAGGTGGCCAGCCGGCGCAGGGTGGGCTCACAGAGACCAGGTGATCAGCCGGCGCGGGGGTGGGCTCACAGAAACCAGGTGACCAGCCGGCGCGGGGGTGGGCTCACAGAGACCAGGTGACCAGCCGGCTCACAGAGACCAGGTGGCCAGCCGGCGCAGGGGTGGGCCGCTCACAGAGACCAGGTGACCAGCCGGCGCAGGGTGGGCTCACAGAGACCAGGTGGCCAGCCGGCGCAGGGGCGGGCTCCAGAGAACTGAGGGCAGCGTTTGGGTGGAGGAGGGACTCGTCCGTGGAGAATAGATGCCTTGTCTAGTTACATTGCCGTCCGTACGCTGCTAGTGTACCGTCTGTTCACTGACCCCCCCCCCCCCCCGCCCGCAGCTGTGCGCCGGCCGCCGGCAGCGGTGACCCGGTGACGCAGAAGATCCAGCGCTCGGTGGACGAGCTGCACGCGCTGCACGTCACCTGGCGGGTCACCGAGGTCACCGCCGAGCGCGAGGCGCGCCGGCTGCGCCACCAGCTGCTGCAGCTGACGGAGCAGCTGGCCAGCTGCGGCCACCAGGTCAGACACCGGACGGCCAGCCGCCGACCGCTGCGCACTAATGTTTCCTTTTTTGCTTGGAAATAAAACTAAATACCTTCAGTGATTTTTTTTTTGTAATTTACATGGCAACGGATTAGAATCTAAGACTGGGCATTAACATTTTTTTTAGTATCTCGCTGCCTTGGCGTCTGACACCTCTGTGGTCCGGCCGGCGCGGCGCCGTCCGATGTACCCCCAGTCGGTGTATTTGTGTGGCAGTGTTTACCGCGTCTGTCCGTGTTGGCTGAGGACCGCTCGGCCGGTGTTGGTCACGCCGTGCTGCGGTCTGCGCAGGAGGAGGCTCCGGTGGACTGGCCGGCGCACCTGGCCGCCGCCGAGGCGCGCGGCCGCGCGGCCGCCCTGGAGACGGCGGCGCGCCAGCTCGGCGCCGAGGTGGAGGCGCTGGGAGCCGCGCGCTCCGCACTCGAGCAACGCTACGCCGCCATCCAGCGTAACCAGCAGCTGATCGTGAGTGGGGCCGGCCGGCCGCGCTCCGTGCCAGCCGCTCCGCCGGCCGGCCGCGCTCCGTGCGGTGGTGTCGCGGTACTGCCCATTGCGAATCCATGTGTAACTCTAAACAGGGACACGCGATCGTAAACTGCGCTGATGTAATCTAGCTGCCAATTTGTCGCGTCCGTGAGCCGCGGCTGCGGCCACCCCGGTGCACGCTGACCGACCCTCCCCCCCGCCCTTCCGGGCCGTCCAGGAGCGCAACAAGAGCCACATCCAGCTGCTGATATCGCTGGCGGGCGACTCTGTGGCGCTGAGCCGGCAGGCGCAGCAGCGCGCGGCGGCGGCGGCTCAGCGCCAGCTGCGCCCGCTGCTCTCCCAGCTGGAGGAGGCGCAGCGCCGCGCCGCCGCACAGACGGCCGCAGAGGTCGACTCGGCCGGCCGCCGCCTGCTGGCAGACATACGCTGGGTCGTCGTGGACGGGTGAGGGCGCCGCGCCGCGGACAGGGGCGCGGCTGACTGGGTGCTCGGGGCGCAGGGAGGGCTGTGGGGTGTTCAGGGCACCAGGGTTGTCCGCAGCACAGATCATCTACGGGTCACAGATGCTTTCCCAGGTAACCGACTCTGACTCACAAGCCGTAAGGACGGAAGGTTGTAGTTTTACTCTTACAAACGTACGTTTTCAATTTTGGCTCTCCAACAGAAATGTTCTGTCAAAGGGAGCGGTTGTGTCCTCTGAAATGCCGCCGCTGGGTACGGCCGGCTGTGACGGTCTGTGTGCGTTCCGCCGGCAGCCGTCCGCTGCTGTCTGTGCAGCTGCCCCTGTACCGGCCGCCGCCGGCGCTCCTCTCTCGCCGCCTGCGCTGCGCCGAGGCCGAGCTGCTGGAGCTGCTGCAGGCGCTGTGGCAGCAGCAGCGCGCCGACCGCCGCGCCGCCGCGCTCCGCCGGCTGCGCCACACGCTGGCGAACACCGCCGTGCCGGCCGACCGACTAGAAGGTGAGTGTGGGGGTCCCGGCTCTGTGGGAGTCCCTGGTCCGGGCTCTGCGGGCGGGTGTGGGGGTCCCGGACGAACCGGGGGCAGTGATCAACCAAGTGTAGAGTGCTGCCGCCGGGTGCAGAGTCAGACTGTGACTGTGAATGTCTGGCTGAGTCAGACTGTGAATGACTGTGACTGACTGTGACTGTCTGACTGTCTGGCAGAGTGCTGCCGCCGGGTGCAGAGTCAGACGGAGCACGAGCGCAGCACCCTGCTGCCGCAGCTGGAGCGGCTGTTTGTCAACATGTCGCAGATGGGCGCCGCGCTGAGGGAGGCCCGCGGCGCGCTCCACAACTGGTCAGTTAGACTGCGGCTGTACGGAGTTAACGCACACTGTGTACAGGTGTACAGCCGTACGTATATACAGTCGCACATATGGTGACGGGGCAATGGGGAAACAGGTCTAGAACACGTTTTTAATCAGTTTGTGAGATGCTGTTTGTTTTATCTGTGAACAAGCGATTCAGCCAGGATCAATTTATCGAGTTCTAACACAATGACCTATCTGATAAGGATATTATTTGCTGTTGTATTGTGTTTATTCCAGTTGTATTGTTTATTTCGTGAGGGCGTGTCTGTCCATTCCAACCATTTCGGCGGCGGCCGCCGATGTATGTGCTCTCCCCCCGTGTCCCCTCCCGCGTCCCATCTCGGAATTTGTGCCCCGTCTCAGGAAGGCATTACACCCTGATCATTGGGTCATTCCGTACCCGTGGGCATAGTGGCACGTGCCAGACTCTGGCACGTGCCGGCCTCTGGCAGCCAGACTGAGGTGATATATTGCTTTTGTCCGAGCATCCTCTGCTTTTTGGAACTGTTCAGCCACTAAAGCACTACAACTATCTGTACAGCGTAAACTCAGGGGGCGATCGGACCCCTCCATACGAGGCAGCAGCTCTGTGTTGTGAGGACGTGCCCCCCGCCTAAAGCCCCAATTAACAATAAAAGAGGATGAGAAGGATATTGTGTCCCCGCCCACCGTGTCCCGCCGCCGCCGGTGTGCCCCACATCCCGGCCCGGTGTGTGCCCCTACCCCTCCCCCTTCCCCCGCCCCGGTGTGTGCCCTACCCCTCCCCCTTCCCCCGGCCCTGTGTGTGCCCTACCCCTCCCCCTTCCCCCGGCCCGGTGTGTGCCCCTACCCCTCCCCCTTCCCCCGGCCCGGTGTGTGCCCCTACCCCTCCCCTTCCCCCGGCCCGGTGTGTGCCGTCCCGGTGTGGAGCTGTGACGCCGCCGGTGTGCCCCCCTTCCCCCTTCCCTGTGTGGAGCTGTGACGCCGCCGGTGTGTCCCCCCCCCCCCCCGTCTCGTCCCGGTGTGGAGCTGTGACGCCGCCGGTGTCGTGTCGCCAGGACGGACCAGCCGGCCCGCTCCGCCGTTCAGCAGGTGCGGCACGCCGGGCACAGCCTGCGTCAGTGGGAGCAGCGCTACGTGGCCGCGCTGGCCGCCGGCCGCGGCCCGCACCGGCCCGCCGCCTGAGCCGTGTGGTCCGGCCCGCCGCCTGAGCCGTGTGGTCCGGCCCGCACCGGCCCACCGCCTGAGCCGTGTGGTCCGGCCCGCACCGGCCCACCGCCTGAGCCGTGTGGTCCGGCCCGCACCGGCCCACCGCCTGAGCCGTGTGGTCCGGCCCGCACCGGCCCACCGCCTGAGCCGTGTGGTCCAGCCCGCCGCCTGAGCCGTGTGGTCCGGCCCGCGCCGGCCCGCAGACTGAGCCGTGTGGTCCGGCCCACACCGGACCGCCTGAGCCGTGTGGTCCGGCCCACACCGGCCCGCCGCCTGAGCCGTGTGGTTTGGCCCGCCGCCTGAGCCGTGTGGTCTGGCACGCGCCGGCCCGCCGCCTGAGCCGGCCGCTGCCGCTCAGCGCCGCCTGCTACCGAGCGGTGCCGAGCTGTGGTGCTGTGGCACCCGCAGCAGTGCCCGGCGCAGGACACACGCAGAGCGCGCTGCCGCCCACACCGCTCTGCTCAGCTCCCGCGGGAGGGACCGCCAGGAACCTCTGTGACTCTGGAGACGGTCCCCGTCCGGCACTGGCGACTGGAGAGGCCAGGCGCCCGACTTTCAGCGCCGCCTCACCGGAGACCGTGGGCACTGCCGCGCCAAAACCATGCGCTCCGTTCGCCGTAACCTTCTTGGGCTGGGTACGCTCCTTCGCATGTACAGGTCTCGCGGGTTTTAGCGGTAGGTTTTGCACCTAGAAAATTTAGTGTACTTCAGGCTATATCTTCGTCGTCCTAAGCTTCTAAGTGTTGAAGATGCGATCAACTTGTTGGGTAACAAGCCGGCCATGATCGTGTAAAATGGCTTCATCGTAGATCGATTAGTTTCTGAGATATAACCGGAAATGATAGCTGCTGGATAGCTGCTGGAGGGACTTCACGAGGACGTGAACCGGGTGACGAGCCGGCCAAAGCCGATCACGACCGACATCGACGACTCACTGAGCGCCAGTCAAAAAGTCAATGGAGGCCTGGAAACGTTTCTTGCGCCTGGAAAACTCCAGTTTGTTGACCTGTTCGTGGGCCAGCTCAAGGCTACCCTGCGGTGCACGGTATGTGGCCACGCATCGGTTACCTTCGACCCGTTCTGGGAACTGAGTCTGCCAATCCCGTCACGAAGTGGCCAGGTGCGCCTACAGGCCTGTTTTGACCCGTTCACCAAAGAGGAGGTGCTCGATGGCGACGAAAAACCGACCTGCTCAAAGTGCCAGAAGCGCCAAAAGTGCACCAGGAGCCTCTCGATCCAGAAGTTCCCTCGTATCTTGGTGGTCCACCTGAAGCGGTTCTTGCCGCAGGAGAGGTTCCGCGGGAAGCTGAACACCACTGTCGACTTTTCGGTGAACGGCCTGGACCTGTCGCCCTACTCGGCCGAACAGACGCCCTGCCGGTACAGCTTATACGGCGTGGCGAACCACTCTGGCACGCTGCTCTCAGGACATTACACCGCTTACTGCCGACACCCGTACACGGCAGAGTGGTACGAGTACAACGACTCGCGGGTCCACGTGATGGATCAGAGAGACGTCAACAGCGGAAAGGCATACGTGCTGTTCTTTGAGCTGGCCGGCTCGGAACACCGCTCCGGCTCGACCCACGTCTAGTCATCAAGTCACGGGAGAGGAGCCTGCGATCGTCACCCGCTCGGGTCCTGTGTAGTCACACCGGCCGGCGCACTTTCTGCTCGGACAATTCTAGCCAGCGGCCTATTGTGATTTGTGATATTGGGTGTAAGGTGTTGTGAAAACCAGAACAGTCTTGGGATCTCACTGAAAACATTGGCAATAATAAACTACCATGTAAGCCTAAAAAAAAACTGGAAATGTAAAAGTGCAAAACCTACCGCTTAATCTCGCGAGACCTGTACGCCGCGTATTATCACACAGTTCTATTCGCCGAGTTTGCTGCCAATCTGCTCTCCTTTGTAACCGATCGCTAATACACATCCCGGGCAGCCGCTCCGCTGGTTTTACGGAGCGTCCTACCGTCTGACTGAAGGGGCAGACCGGTCCATCCGCGTCCACCAGGGGTCCCTCGCCAGCTGTCAGCGAGCACTCCCAACACCATCATATCGCTTAGGTCTGTCATACCAAGACAATGCAGGCCATCAGAGAACTTGATCAGCACATTTTCCCGATTTCGTGACCAAATGCTGAATTCGGCGCACAAATCGTGAACTCTCATGACGCGGCTACAGTGTCGCGGAAACGCATCTCTTCCGCTGATGTGTGCTCAAATTAAATGCATCTGGACTCTAGGGACCAAAAGGCATTAATTTAGGCTTTTACGTTTTTCTTTAACAAGTTTGACATCGAACATTTGCCAGAATCGTTTCTCGCGAAGAGACCTCAAATGAACTATATGTTTACATCGGTCAAGAACGTCTCGTAAAAGCGATTTACGCAGAACCCTGGCATCAAAATTGAACGTCACTCTGACGTCACGCCCCAGCAAAACGCGCTGGTGTATGATAACGGTTTCAAGGATATTGTAGGAAAAACAACGGCCCGGCGTGGGTCCAAGGGGCGACCAAGACCCTAGTAACGACCATCGGAACGGTTCGCCGCAGCTGCCACCGGCCGGCGGTCTCTGCCACCGGACACCGCGCCGCGGAGCCCGCCCGGACCTCCACAGCCACACCGCGCCGCGGAGCCCGCCCAGACCTCCACCGAGCCCGCCCAGAGACACACCGCGCCGCGGAGCCCGCCCAGAGACACACCGCGCCGCTGAGCCCGCCCAGACCTCCACAGACACACCGGCCACTGTCCACCGGGAACTCTATTCACGATAAAATGCAGCCAACAGGATACAGCGAGCGATGTGTTGGTCTACAATAGCCCCCATCCCCCCTCCCCCCGAATGTGCAGTCCCTGGTTCGTGTATGTGCCCTCCGTACTTGAGAACACGGAGTTCACACTAAATCGCGCCGGACAAGCCGGGGTGCCGGGTACGATCGATGAAATCAGAGCGGCCCGGCGTCCGTCTCTGGCGCCTCCGCTGGACGACAGTCGCTGGACAGCTCGGCCCGGCCGGCGCCGGTACACCGTCCGTTACTGGGACCCGGCCGGCGCCCACAGCTCGGCCCGACCGGCGCCGGTACACCGGCCGGGGCCCCGCTGTCACCCGGGCCGGCGACCAGCGCTCCGCTCCCCGCCCACACACACAGACACACAAACACCTCCCCTGAGGCCGGCCAGCGGCGCTACACCTTCTTGGGCACGTCCAGCTTGGTGCGCTTCTTGGAGATGGCGTCCTCGACGGCCTTGAGCTGCTTCATCAGCTCGTCGCGCCGCGAGGTGGACGGCTTTTTGGTGACGGGCCGCGGCACCGGCGTGGGCCGGGCGGTGGCGGCGGCGGCGGCCGGGCCGGCGGCCACCGCCGGCACCTTGGCGGGCCGCGCCCCGGCCGCCGGCTGGTCGGCGGCGCGCTTGCGGGCGCTGCCGGCCGGCGGCGCGGCCGACTCGGGCTCCGAGTCGTCCGTGTCGTGCAGGCCGAGCCGGTCCACCACCCGCTGGCTGGGCTGTACCGACGACGGGCCGCGCAGCGTCAGCTTTATCTGCTTCTTCTTGCCCGCGTCCTGGAGCACACAGACGGACACACGGATAGCAGGGGTCAGTTGGTGACTGGGTGCGGGGGAAGGGGGGCTGGGCGTCCTGACACACGGATAGCAGCAGGGGTCAGTTGGTGGCTGGGTGCGGGGGGGGGGGGGCTGGGCGTCTTGCCACAAACATACACACAGACAGACAGACAGACAGACAAATGGTCAGCTGATGGTCAGGATGTCCCGCCACTTGCATTAGAGCACATAAAGGATTCTTCATGGCTCCGAGTGGAAGATAAGGATATCTTTTCTAGGCGGGTTACTGGAAAACCGAGCGACGAAGGAGCGAGGTTTTTTCTGTAACACGCGAGGAAAAGATATCCAATCTTCCACGAGCGGAATGGAGCTGCCAAAACCCTGCCAATGCCTCGTATATCAGGAGCTCAACAGCTTCTGGTAAAGGTGTCATCCCGGTTCTTCCTCCCCAGACCCTTAGATCCCGGACGCGGTCAGACCCGATGTGCGTCCCTCAGACCCGGTACGCGTCCGTGACTCACCGCCAGTGCGTCGATGGGCCGCCGGTTTTGCTGCGGCTCGTAGCCGGCCGGGGCGGCGCGGGCGGCCGCCGGCGGCGACCTCACGGCTGGGGACGCCGCGGCCGGCGGCGGCGGAGGGGGCGGAGGCGGCGGTGTGGGCGGAGCGGCGGCGGGCGGCGACACGGAGCCCCGTTGGCCGGCGGCCGGCGGTTTGCGTCCCGCTGCAGGCCGCCGTCCTGGAAGGTATACAAACGGGATTAGTCTCTGTGGGTACAGACAGCCTCGGTGCGCGCGGAACAGGGTGAGTGGGCAAACGGTGAAGTACAACATTATAATATGTGTCAATATCTTCTAATAAAACAAGTGATGGCTTGTACCAGAAATTACAGAAAGTCCCCCACGCCCGGCGGTATTCTGCGCGGAGCCGGCTGCGCCGCCGGACGCTCACCTTTCCTGTAGCTCGGTGACGGCGTCCGGGACGCGGAGCGGCTCGAGCCAGACGACGAGCGGGACGAGCGAGACGAGATGCTCGTGCTCAGCGAGCGCGAGCGGGAGCGGCGCCAGCCGCGTCCCCGTGTCCGCGACCGGGAGCGGGAGCGGGAGCGGGACGGCGAGCGGGACAGGGACGAGTCCGAGTCGGACGAGTCGGACAGCGAGCGAGACCGGCGGCGGCGCGGCGCCGGCGCCGCCTTCCGGCCGGCCGGCGCCGGCGCGCGGCCCGGCCGGCTCGGCGCCCTCTCCGGCTTGTCCCGGGACTGGGCGGCGGCGCGCGCCGCGCTGCGGCCGGCGTCCGGCGCCGCCGCCGGCCGGGAGCCGCTCTTGGTGTCGGCGCGGCCCGGCCGGCCGGCGCTCTCGGGCGCCGGGCGCGCCGCCGGCCGGTGCCGGCCCGCTCGCGACTCGTCGCCCCTGCCGGGCGGCGCCGGCCGCGACTCGCGGCCCTCCGCCTCCCTGTGCGGCGCTGACCGCGGCTCGGGCTCGCGGCCCGGCGCCCTGGCCGCGCGGGCCGCAGGTGGCGGCGGCGGCGGTGGTGGCGGTGGTGGTGGCGGCGGTGGGCGCGCCTCGCGGCCGGCGCGCAGCGAAGGGTCGCGCCCGGTGCGCGAGTCGAACTCGCCGGCGGCTGCGGGCCGCTCGCGCTCCTTGTCGCGGTGCCGGGCCGCGCCAGAGTCCGCCGACAGCATGGCGCCCATCGTGTGCGACGGGTACCGGCCGCCGCGGCCGGCCGACGACACTGCCGACGGCGGGTCAGTGTCAGGCGGACGGGGTCAGGTCACACTGTATGGGACGGGGTCAGGTCACACTGTATGGGGCGGGGTCAGGTCACTGTTTGGGGCGGGGCAGTTCATACCAACGGGGTCACATCGGTCGCACCGGCCGCTGGGCGGTGTTCTTGATTTTTTTTCCATTATAGTCCAGTCCAGGTCTGATGGGCTCAACCCCGGCGGATCACCAGCGTGCCACAAACAGAGCCCAGGCTATAGTGGTTCCGACAGCATATTGCTGCCCAAGGTATGACAATGTAACCCGTAACCACCCTTCCTCCCCTCTCAGTCCGCCCCTCCTCCCCTTTCAGCCCACCCCTCCTCCCCTCTCAGTCCGCCCCTCCTCCCCTCCCTGTGAGTCCGCCTATGCTCCCCGCTCAGTCAGTTCAGTTGCAACTCCATCCCCAGCGGCAGAGACTAGTCTGTTAACTCACCCCTGCGCCGGCCGAGACCAGTCGTGTGTGCACTCACCCCTGCGCCGGCCGAGACCAGTGACTGTGTATATCAACTCACCCCTGCGCCGGCCGGGACCAGTCTGTGTATCAACTCACCCCTGCGCCGGCCGGGTCGCGGCGA